CGCCGGCATTTGCTGGGCCGGGTCTCGGCCCCGGCGTTGTGCTCTCGAGGGGTCGCGTGGGGAGAAGTGACGCTGTCGAGTGCGTTGCTGCCGTTAAAACCGAGAGAGTGGGTTGTGCGGTGGCCGTGTCGTCGGTGTGAACGACAGTCACGCGGAAACGCGGCGTGCTTTAATAAAGGGAAGAGTGCGGGGAGGGACGGGGGACGCCGGAACGGAAAGTTCTGTCGCGTTTCAGAGCAATTCGCCCATCCAAAGGGTTAACCGGAGGGGCTGGGGGGGAGCGGGCACCTGGGACCTAGCACCCCATTGTCAGTCTTTTGTAATATGTAATTTGCCTAAAATTGCGCGCTGAGCACGAGCTTTTGTTTTCTAATTGATTTACGGTTTGAGCCACTTTTACCTCCTCCCCTACTGTCGTGCGCGCGGTGCCAGCAAGTACATTACAGCGAGAAATGATAAATTACTGTGCACTTGTGGTGCTAATGCATCAAGAGTAAAAAACTGAGAACTACATGGAGCTTCATGCATTAAGAGTGTCGCAGAGATAGTGCTATGCAAAAAATCATTTGTATCTTCTGAAATAACCGCTTGATCGTTTACTTCAATTCATCTCTGAGACCTAATTGAGCCTGAAGATTAAAATTTATGCTATTACGGCTTTCCATTTGTGAGTGGGAACAAAGTCCTAAAGAAAGTGTGTGAGCGTGGGCTTAAAGCTACCTGTATTTTTGAAGCTTTTAATAAGTTAATTGATCGTAAAAGTAACAGGTATTGCAGCTTTTTAAAATCTAAATATTTTGCTTGTTAATGGCAACTACAGTACCCATTCTCAAATGACATCACTCTGCTTTTAGATAGTAGCACGTGTAGGTAGGTTAACGCAGATACTGTCTAATTGGTGTTTGTCACCAAAACTATTTACATATTTTCATCTGTTTTGTTTCAGAGGTGTAACGCAACTTTTACTGAGTAACACCTTTGCATGTGTTGAGGAAGAATGGAAAATCTTGAGTAATTTTTCTTGTGTTTATGAAATACCTTACTGATATCCCAGTGAAGAGGAAAATGTGGAAGTTGGTGAAAACTAACGTATGCTTATTGTCTGCGTTCTTTCCCCCACCCTGCATCAAGGGCTGGATTTCGTCTTACCTTCACGTATTCAGTCCACCTTAAATTTTTTATTTTTGTACGATGTCTGTGGGTTCTAGTCTTGAAATATGAAGCAGCAGATTTATGGCGGCTGCTGGGCACAACAAATTAAGTTGACAGTGATGTATGAGAGCATAATAGCATGATGATCCCTCTGTAGCGCGGCTGGACGCCTCCTGCTTCATTTGGCTCTTGTTAGGATCTGTTAGGCAGCTAAATAATGAAATTCTGCTGACTGATTTCTGATTTCTCTTTTCTTTCTCTTTTCACCTTTTACTGAAACTTGCATTTCCCAGACCCATCCTAATGCCAGCAAACTGCCCTTAAAGGATTCTTTCACTTATGACGACTACAGGTTGGTCTGTCTTTTAATTCTTTCTTTTTTTTTTTTAATACAGTGAACTGTGGAGACCTGGAAATACTTCATTGGTGGGAATGCCCTATTGTTATTGAAATGTTAAATGTAGGATTTGATACTAATACACTTTCTGAATGAAGAAGAAAGTAAAATAAATGTGCAGATTTTAATTGTTACAAAGGAATAGTCATTATGAGCTGTTAATTTAGCTAACTGACACACATAGTGTGAGATTAATAAGGTAGTTCATTGTTTCTTAAGAAAATAATTCCATTGACATTGCAGGAGATTTGGGGTTTGGGTGTGGGGATTTTTTTTTAATTTCTTCTTTTATAAAGGGCTTTACCAGCACATAGTAGTAAAAACTAATATTTACAGTGGCTGTTGAACAGGAGAGCTGGAGAACTTAAGTTGTACACGTGAAGCATGAGCGTCACTTGGAGGTGCTATAGGGGGTGACGATTTAAGATAAAAATAAGAGTAATTAAGATGAGAGCTTTAATTCTCTTAAGTGATTAAAATAGCATGAATAAAAGGCATTTATGAGGTGTTACAGGGTTTTTTTTCTTTAGCCTAGTCGTTCTTCTGGGTAAGCTTATGAAAGTGGGATTTCCAAAGCTCATCCCCTTCACTTGCAGGGTCACTGAGGAACATGCCAACTTACACGTGAAGTAGCCTAAAATTTTGCAGTTAAATTACAACAATTAGAGAAACATATTGCTGTTAAGTTTCAGACAGTGTTTGTATATCAGAATTATCCACAATTTTAACTTGCTTTTTAGAAATTAATTTATTTCAATTTGATGGTGTATTTCTAAGCAATCTGGAGTCCTTCTGAAAAAATTGTTCTGAAAGTCTAATTCTGTGTATTAAATGCTTGTTAGTAGTGGAGTCTGTGGGAGATAAAATTATTTTGGCCTTCTGATAGTATTCCTTTTTTCCTTTTTTTTTTTTTTTTCACCCTTAGAAAACAACAACAAATATATGTTAAGGCCAGAACATAGTGGAACTAAGATTGATTTTTTTTTTTTTTTTTTAATTTTTTTTTCCTCCTCTGGCATTTGATATTCATTTTTGTCTGAAATAAAATAAAAACAAAATTTTAGAAAATACTGAAATGTTAAGCATTTCTGAAGATTCCTGTTTGAATAGGTAGCTGGCATTTCATTTTCTTAACCTGCCTTGGAAGGGTTTTGAATGATGCCTGTGTGCTGAACTATGTTATACTTTCTTCATTCTTTTTAGCTGGATATCTGTTTAGATTGGGACTTTTTTCCTCTCTTTATTCTGTTTAGCAGAAAATTTAGCAATGCTGATCTAAGCCAAAAGTTTGCAAACTGAAGAGAAGCGCTTCCCAAAATATTTACCAAAATACCATGCATGTGTCAGGTGATGACAGTGGTTTCCAGTTCATGCAGTACGTAAGTTTTTTAGGGAACAAGGGGAAGAATACGCCCTGGCTCGTACAAGAGTCTGCACATAGATGAGAGCTACTGCTGCCAAGTGGTAGCTGTGAACTACTCTGAAGCCCATAGGAATAGCTGACCCCAGGTTCGGGATGTGTGGTGAGAGGTATGTGTGCAGTGAAGGGTTGGGGAAGCAGAAGGTGACATGGGAGTGGGTCCTGGTTGAAGTAATGGACAGTATAAGAGACCTGTTGCAAAAACCGCAGAAGAGGGGTGGGATTGCAATCCTGATTTGGGAATTGGTCTATGTGCATGTCTTGGAAACTTGGGAGCTGCTGCTTCTCCAGCAAGTTGTATTGCCTTCTACTGTGACCGTGCCCTGTATGGTCTTTAAGAAAACTAAGTTTGGAACCTCCCAGCCTAAGTGATTGCTTCAGGTTGGACTACAGCCAGTCACATATTGATGTTTGATCATTGGCCATCTAATGTTTCTGATTTTTGTAGATGGGCGGTTTCCTCTGTCATGACACGGCAAAACCAGATTCCAACAGAAGATGGTTCCAGAGTTACATTGGCTCTAATACCTTTATGGGACATGTGTAATCATACTAATGGACTGGTAAGGATTTCTTCAGTGTTGCTGAAAGGCTTTAAAGCTTAAGTCTTCCAACTGCTGAAGAGCAGTTTAATAACACTTTTCATTATGCTTCTTAACCCAGGTATTTTATCTTCCCAAGTGATAAAAAACCTAATACCTGAAAAAAAGATTTCTTTCTTAAATGTCTTACGGTAGCTTTTCTGGGAGATCTTTCTTCATCTAGAGAAAACTTCAGAAGTCATCGCATACTTGCCTAAAGTTGTGTCTCACATACATATAGTGTACCTTTAAAAGTTTTGAGTTACATGATACCTTTTTTCCAGCCAAATATTCGCAATACTGGACAGATTTGTTCTGGGAATAGGAAAGCAGACAGTGATGGAGGTTGCCTCTTGTAGCTACCACTAGGGAAAGTGGTTAGAAATTTGCAACTAAGAAATAACTGCCTGCTCTCCTAACCATGCCCAAAGAGCCTTGTTATGAAGACAGCAACAAGAACAAAGCCTAGTTCAACAAAAACAGTACATCTGTTACTACATCAAAGAAACAAAATGCAAAAATACTACTTCAGGGCATATTAAACATTTAAAAGGTGACATATGTATATAGAAAGTCAGATGTGCTGACATTTTGGCTTACATGAGCTAGTTCAGAGGATGAGGTCTTGATTTCGTTAACAGGCTAGTTAATGTTGAAGTGAGGAAATGGAAACCAATAAGAGGATGGTTTATCAGTGTTATTTAGCCAGTCTTGTGTACGCTTCAAAATTCATACCCTCTAATTGTGTTTCCAGGAGATAATATTATTTATTGTAAGCAGTGAATATGACCATACTATTCAAGTAATCTGGATCTTTTGTGGGAGAGTTGACCTGAGTGTTAGGACAGCAGCGTGTGTTTGTATTGCTGGTATAGGAAAAGCCTGGTTTAAACGAACAAACTGTAAAGCAAGTTGTCTTTCACTGGACGCTTAGCTAATTTATTGTTACTATAACTGCAATCTACCAAATACAGCAGGGTAGGCTCAGCCACAAAGTTGCAAGTGTTTGAGGTTTTTTGTTTATTTATTTCTCCCTATTAAAAAGCAGTTATGTGTTGTTCTTTAACAGTGATTCTTGCCTTTCACGATTTGTTATGCAATCTCATAACTTTGATTTAGCAATAAAGCTTGTATAAAAGTCTCCAATATAAAGAAAATTGCTTAAAATTCAGAATTTATATTTTTGTAATATAAGTCTTAGCTGCAAGCATCAGTACTTCCTGTACCCTTTTCCTGCTGGGCATCTCCTTCAGATGCTTTTGCAGAGACTTGTCTGTATTCATTAGACAACTCTTAATGAATGCCTTCAAAGTTGGTATTAGAGGAAAGAGGAAGAGAACTAAGGCTCTGGGAGGGGAAAAAAATAGGTAGCTTGTATTAAAAAAAGCAGCTAGTTACGTTGTTTTAATCATTCAAACTTCTATTTAAATTGATAAAGTAGTTTTTGTTTTTATTATGCTCTTTTACAATGGGTTTGATATGGAGCCAGCCTCTGGGGCCAAACCTGCTAAAGCAGTAGTATATCAGGGTTGGAAGCATTTTTTTGTGCTGAAGTGTATCCTAAAGGGTGGGGGGGTGGGGATGCTGAACTTAAATATTTTGTATGTATGTACAGACTTCACTTGTTTGTTTCATGTTTATACAGAAATTAGTTTAAATGGTTATAGATTTAGGAAGGATAGACAATGGCAATAATGATAATTGAGATCAGGCAAAAACACCAGGAGGCCTGCATGGATGAATAAGGAGCTCCTGGACAAATTCAAACAAAAAAAAGGAAGCCTCCAGAGGGTGGAAGCAAGGACAGGTAGCCTGGGAGGAATACAGAGAAACTACCCGAGAAGCCAGGGATCTATTAGGAAAGCCAAAGCCCTGACAGAATTCAGTTTGGCCAGGGATATCAAGGGCAACAAGAAACGCTTCTATACAGGTATATCGGTGATAAAAGGAAGACTGGGGAAAATGTGGGCCCTCTCCGGAAGGAAACAGAGAAGACCTGGGAAACAGAGTTACTGAGGATATGGAGAAGGCTGAGGCACTCAATGACTTTTTTTTTGCCTCAGTCTTCACCTGCAAGCGCTCCAGCCACACCACCCAGATTGCAGAAGGCAAAGGCAGGGACTGGGAGAATGAAAAACTACCCCCTGTAGGAAAGGATCAGGTTCAAGATGGTCTAAGGACCCTGAAGGTGCACAAGTCCATGGGACCTGATGAGATGCATCTGTGGGTCCCCAGGGAACTGGCAGATGAAGTTGCTAAACCACTGTCCATCATATTTGAGAAGTTGTGGCAGTCTGGTGAAGTTCCCACTGACTGGAAAAGGGGAAAGATAACCCCCATTAAAAAAAGGGGAAAAAAGGAAGACCTGGGGAACTACAGGCCAGTCAGTCTCACCTCTGTGCCCAGCAAGATCGTGGAGAGGATCCTCCTGGAAACTATGCCAAGGCACATGGAAAATAAGGAGGTGCAGCCAACATGGCTTCGCTAAGGGCAAGTCTTGCTTGACAAATTTGATGCCCTTCTATGATGGGTTACAGCGTTGGTGGATAAGGGAAGAGCAACTGATGTCATCTACCTGGCTTGTGCAAAGCATTCAACACTGTCCTGCGTGACATCCTTGTGTAAACTGGAGAGATGTGGATTTGATGGATTGGCCACTCGGTGGATAAGGAATTGAGTGGATGGTTGCATTCAGAGAGTCACAGTCAATGGCTTGGTGTCCCAAGTGGAGACTAGTGACGAGTGGCGTTCCTCAAGGGTCAATATCGGGACCGGTGGTGTTTAACATCTTTTTCAGTGACATGGAGAGTAGGATTGAGTGCACCCTCAGCAAGTTTACCAGTGACACCAAGCTGAGCGGTGTGGTTGACATGCTGGAGGGAAGTGATGCCATCCAGAGGGACCTGGACAGGCTGGAGAGGTGGCAGGAAGTGCAACAAGGCCAAGTGCAAGGTCCTGCACTGGGTCAGGGCAATCCCAAGCACAAATACAGGCTGGGCAATGGGTGGATCGAGAGCAGCCCTGAGGAGAAGGACTTGGGGGTGTTGGTGGATGAAAAACTGAATATGAGTCAGCAATGTGTGCTTGCAGCCCAGAAAGCCAATTGCATCCTGGGCTGCATTAAAAGAAGTGGAGCCAGCAGGTCAAGGGAGGGAATTCTCCCCCTCTGCTCTGCTCTGGTGAGACCCCACCTGCAGTGCTTCATCCAGCTCTGGGGACCCCAATGTAAGAAGGACAAGGACCTGTTGGATTGAGCACAGAGGAGGGCCATGAAGATGATCAGGGGCTGGAGCACCTCCCCTGTGAGGACAGGCTGAGAGAGTTGGGGTTGTTCAGCCTGGAGAAGAGAAGGCTCCAGGGAGACCTTAGAGAGGCCTTCCAGTACTTAAAGGGGGCCGACAGGAGAGGTGGGGAGGGACACTTTATCAGGGAGTGGAGGGGGAATAG